TGGGGGAGTGGGAGGAGCAGGCAGAGTTCCCAGGAGGAAAACCACAAAACAGCACCCACTGGCTGACATCTCTTTGGCTGCCCCCCTGCATACCGCTCGGGCCCTCCACTCTCCTTGCGGTTGCCCTCACCAAGCCCAGTTCTGAGTGGGTCGGAGATGGATGTTAAAAGGGGGAATTCCTCCCCTGGGCCTTGGAGGGTCACCCAGCTGTTGAGGTCTGTTTCTCCAGCTGCGGCCCTTCTCGTCTTTCCTGTTTGTGTCCTCCGGGCGAGGAAATCCGCAGGAGCCGGGCGGGCGGACGCCAGGTCTCTCTCCTCACCTCGGATCCTCCTTCCTTCCCCTCTTCTTCCCTTCCTTCCTTTCTTTTCCAGTTTACACTTTAAGTACGTACAGTCTCCCTGACCCCCACTCTTGATTTGAGAATGAATCTGTTTTTAAATTTTGGGAAATACAGCAAAGTATAAAGAAAAAAGTAAAGTCTCACAGAATCCCCCAGGTCAGAGAAAAGCACTTTTAACATTTTGGTGTTTCTCTTTTCAGTCTTTTTTCAAACTGTGTGGACGAATACTTTAAAACATTTGGTTGGGTCATGCACAGTTTTTGTGTTTTTTTGCTTCTATGACAAACTTTATTCAAATCATGCACAGTTTTGTATCCTGCTGTCTTCATTGAATTATGAGCATCTGAATGTCATTGAATATTATTTTACAGCATCATCTTTCAATTACTGCATGGTTTCCTCTTCTATAGAAGTATCAAGGTTTATTTTTTTAAAAAAAATATGTTTTTATTAATTTCAGTGAGAGGAAGGGAGAGGTAGAGATAGAAACATCCACGATGAGAGAGAATCATCGATTGGCTGCCTCCCGTACGCCTCCACCCTGGGGATCAAGCCTGCAACCTGGGCATGTGCCCTGACAGGGAACTGAACTGTGACCTCCGGGTTCATAGGTCAGTGCTCAACCACTGAGCCATGCCCACCAGGCCCAAGGTTTAGTTTTTCATTATTTTAAACAGTGCTATGTGGACATCCGGGATTAGTCCCACAGAATGAATTTCTAGAGGTGAAGTTGGTTTGTCGTGCCACCACCCGAGCGCTGCCCCTGTTCTCAGAGGACAGGATTCAGAGCCCCTTTCTCTGTTTGGAGTTTGAACTCGAAATGGGTTTTCATTGGGCAGTGCCACGACTCGTGCTGCCTTACCCCATAGCCCGTCGCCGGGCGGCGGAGGCCGGAGGTGTGAAGGTCCTTGTCATCACCACGCGCCCACTGCCGTGTGGGTCACACTGGGGTGCCCTTGGCAGTGCCCTTCAACCAAGGCCATTGCAGTTACTTTTGGGGAATGGCACCTCCCAGAAGCTCCCCTGTGAGTAAGCAGAGCCCTCACGCCTCATTGCAGCGGGAAGATGCCCGAAGTGGACTACGTGGTTTTGTCGGAATGGTATGACTGGATCGTGAAGAACATCGATGTGTCCGTGGATTTGATAGGTGAGACGGCCCAGGCCTGTCCTGACTTCCCTCCTGGGCCTCCCTCCCCTGGGCCCCCATGAGGATGAGCTTGTCCAGGTTTCCAACAGCCAGCAGAGCGGGGGGCGGGGGCGGGGCCCTTACTGTGGTGCTTCTTTTGCCACAGTTCAGCCTTGTGCCCAAGGGCAGATGGAAGCGGGGGAGGGGGGGGCGGGGGCTCCTGGTCCCTCCTGGAGAAGCACCTGGCCTTTGTTCCTCAGGCTGTTCTCCCTGTGACTTGGTGGGTCCACTGTGATTTGGCGTGTTGTTTTTTTTTTTAGTTTGTAAGGGAGGGAGGAGATGAAAAACCTAGACCAGTGATGGCGAACCTTTTGAGCTCGGCGTGTCAGCATTTTGAAAAACCCTAACGTAACTCTGGTGCCCTGTCACATATAGAATTTTTTTGATATTTGCAACCATAGTATAAAAAAGATTTATATTTTTGATATTTATTTTATATATTTAAATGCCATTTAACAAAGAAAAATCAACCAACAAAATGCGTTCGTGTGTCACCTCTGACCTAGACATGAACTGAGACCCACCAGGGGCTGGGCCCTGTGCTAAGCTCTATGTCTGGAGCCTTATTGAGCCTCACAGTGACCCAGTGGGGCTCATGACATTGAAAGGGAATGAGAGTCGGGATGTGGTCAGGGGGCCTGTCAGGTCACACAGCTGGTCGGTGGTGGAGCTGTGAGCCGACCTTGGCCGTGTCTCCTGCTCCGAGATGCCGGCAGGTGTTTCTCTCCAGGCCTCGCCCACTGCCTTCTTCCCCTTCGCCTTGGCTTTCACTTCCAAGCCGTGAACAGTCGTTAGAGCCACATGTGTTTTTTCAATCGCAGTGTATCTCCGGACCACTCCCGAGACCTGCTATCAGAGGTTAAAGATGAGATGCAGGGACGAGGAGAAGGTCATCCCACTGGTAAGAGCCCTTTCACCTGGTGAGAGATGAACTGGGAGCCACCAGCACCCCAGCCTGGCCCCACCCTCCGGGAGATCCTGTGCTGCTGTCACAGAGAGGGAAACAGGAACCGAGCGTCTCAGAGGGGGAGCTCTGACTTCCTCTGTGGCTGGAGACCCCGCGTCCAGATCTGCTTCACTTCCTGTGTCCCCGACTCAGCGGTCGGCACCCTCCCCCGTCCCTGCCCAGGCATCACCAGGGCTTGGCTGGCCGCCTCTTGAAGGCAGCTTGCCTCCGTGCCCTCTAGATCCGTTCTGGAAGCAGCCCTCTTGCTCACGGCTGCATCCCCATTGCATAGTGCTGTGCCCGGCTCGGAGGCGACACTCACTCGTGGCTGCTTAACTGCTTCAGCCTCGGGGGTCCGGCTCAAGGCCCCATTGACTCTGGTTGGGATTGTTTAACTGCTCTCCTTGCCCTGGCCCCCCACTCCCCACATCTGCCTCTGAAATCCAGCCTCCACCCTGCTGCCCGGGTGATGTTTCCAGTGCAGGACACCACGTGTGCAGTCCCAGCCCCAAGCCCTTCAGGGCCTCATCACGGTTTAGGCCAGGGGCGGGGAACGTCCGGCCGGGATAAGGCCCGAGAAATCATTTGGTCTGGCCCTGCCAAGGCATTAGGGGCGAGTTAATTCAATGTTTGACCAAATAGAGCAGGCTGATTTTTAAGTTATAATTATGTATGGCCCACAAATGATGTTATAAATATCCAAGTGGCCCTTGGCAGAAAAAAGGTTCCCCATCCCTGGTCTAGAATATCCGTAGGTTTGGGCTGTGGGAGTGGGGCTCCTAGGCCAGTGAGGGTCACGTTCCTCTTGGTGGGAGGGAAAGGTTCAGGCTGCCCAGGGCTGGGATGCTGGGCCATGGACCCTATATTTTTGATATTTATTTTATATATTTAAATGCCATTTAACAAAGAAAAATCAACCAAAAAAATGCGTTCGCGTGTCACCTCTGACCTAGATATTAACTGAGACCCACCAGGGGCTGGGCCCTGTGCTAAGCTCTATGTCTGGAGCCTTATTGAGCCTCACAGTGACCCAGTGGGGCTCATGACATTGAAAGGGAATGAGAGTCGGGATGTGGTCAGGGGGCCTGTCAGGTCACACAGCTGGTCGGTGGTGGAGCTGTGAGCCGACCTTGGCCGTGTCTCCTGCTCCGAGATGCCGGCAGGTGTTTCTCTCCAGGCCTCGCCCACTGCCTTCTTCCCCTTCGCCTTGGCTTTCACTTCCAAGCCGTGAACAGTCGTTAGAGCCACATGTGTTTTTTCAATCGCAGTGTATCTCCGGACCACTCCCGAGACCTGCTATCAGAGGTTAAAGATGAGATGCAGGGACGAGGAGAAGGTCATCCCACTGGTAAGAGCCCTTTCACCTGGTGAGAGATGAACTGGGAGCCACCAGCACCCCAGCCTGGCCCCGCCCTCCGGGAGATCCTGTGCTGCTGTCACAGAGAGGGAAACAGGAACCGAGCGTCTCAGAGGGGGAGCTCTGACTTCCTCTGTGGCTGGAGACCCCGCGTCCAGATCTGCTTCACTTCCTGTGTCCCCGACTCAGCGGTGGGCACCCTCCCCCGTCCCTGCCCAGGCATCACCAGGGCTTGGCTGGCCGCCTCTTGAAGGCAGCTTGCCTCCGTGCCCTCTAGATCCGTTCTGGAAGCAGCCCTCTTGCTCACGGCTGCATCCCCATTGCATAGTGCTGTGCCCGGTTCGGAGGCGACACTCACTCGTGGCTGCTTAACTGCTTCAGCCTCGGGGGTCCGGCTCAAGGCCACATTGACTCTGGTTGGGATTGTTTAACTGCTCTCCTTGCCCTGGCCCCCCACTCCCCACATCTGCCTCTGAAATCCAGCCTCCACCCTGCTGCCCGGGTGATGTTTCCAGTGCAGGACACCACGTGTGCAGTCCCAGCCCCAAGCCCTTCAGGGCCTCATCACGGTTTAGGCCAGGGGCGGGGAACGTCCGGCCGGGATAAGGCCCGAGAAATCATTTGGTCTGGCCCTGCCAAGGCATTAGGGGCGAGTTAATTCAATGTTTGACCAAATAGAGCAGGCTGATTTTTAAGTTATAATTATGTATGGCCCACAAATGATGTTATAAATATCCAAGTGGCCCTTGGCAGAAAAAAGGTTCCCCATCCCTGGTCTAGAATATCCGTAGGTTTGGGCTGTGGGAGTGGGGCTCCTAGGCCAGTGAGGGTCACGTTCCTCTTGGTGGGAGGGAAAGGTTCAGGCTGCCCAGGGCTGGGATGCTGGGCCATGGACCCCCCTCCCCCAAAGGAACTGGTGGCTCCGCTGTTAAAAAAAAAAAAGGCAGTAATGAGAGAATCCCGCTGGGAGGGTATGTGGAAAGCCCAGCTGCGTGCACCGGAGGCCTGGGCTGGGCTGGCCGTCGGAGTGAGCAGCTGCACTTTCACTGTCCGCCTGAGCCAGGTTGGTTTTCGTGGGCTTCCCTGTCCAAGCCACTGCCCATGGTCAGTGACACCCACCCTACCTGCCCGAGACCCTGGGTGGGAGAGGCGTGCTCGCTCCCTCGTGCTTCAGCAGCCTGTGTGTGTGTTTCCCGGCAGGAATACCTGGATGCTATTCACCACCTCTACGAGGAATGGCTCACCAAAGGGGACCTTTTCCCTATAGTGGCCCCTGTTCTGGTAAGTCCACCTGATAGGGCAGGAGACTTTTGTAGAAGGAAGAGTGGCCCGGGAATGTCGGCCACACTGCAGTCTGGGGAGGGGCCGAGTCCTGCAGCGCTCGGGAATGTGGAGGAAGGAAGCAGGGAGGGTGGAAGGGTGGCTTTCCCTCTCCCAGTCCCCGTTCTGGACGAGTCTCAGTGACTTGGACAGACCCGAGAGAAGGTGATTTGACTCAGTGTCATTACACCGTGGCCACAGCAGCATCTCACTTACCCAGCATCATCAGCGAAGGAATGTTCTAATGGCTAAAGCCTCTAGCCCCGGGTTTTGGCCTTAACCGTCTGGGATGGTGGTCTTTCTGATGCAACAGTCCCTTCTCCAGTGGATGGCAGGCTCGGAGCCTCGCTGCACCTTTCCTCAGTGACTCGGGGCATCCGAGGGACCCTCATGTGCTGTTCTGGGTGGGCGCACAGTGATGCCTTGAGCAGGTGCTGAGGTGCAGCACTGTTTGCCCAGGTTACTAATATCTCGGAGCTCCTGTGCTTGCTTTTTACGGGAACCCCCCTTTCTCCTGCCGACACTCGCCGTTTCTAACTCTATTGCTGTGTCTGCCCCATCCGTGATTCCTTGCTTCTCCATCCCCTTGTTTGTGATTTGCTGCTGCTGCATCTCTGCAGGCAGCACTGGCCACCTAAGACTGCGAGGAAAGGAATGCGTGTGCAGCATGGACCTGCGGGAGGGCCGTGCACAGACGTTGCGCCTGGCCTTGGGGACATCTGTTTGGGCTGCTCAGACACTTCCACTCGTCGCTCTTCCAGGCAGTGAGGTTCCTGGGAAGTGAGATATTACTATAGTGGGTTTTAAAAATGCAGTACAATTTTCCCCTCATTGTAGAAAATTAGACGGTATAAAATGATGAGAAGAACCTCATTTATGAGCTCGCTGCAGGGACAACTGTAGCGGATTCTTAAGTGAAAATAGAGCCGAGAATTTAGATGGACCTAGAACGGGCGAGGTTTGGCTTTAACCTGCCTCTCGCTGCCTCCTCCTGCCTCCAGCTCTCTCTTCATCTTTGAAGGGAGGAGGGTGCTGAAGCCGAGTGCAGGCTGTGACTGTGTGTTTAATTTCCAGGTGATTGAGGCTGACCACGACATGCAGAAAATGTTTGAACTCTTTGAACAAAACCGGGACCGGATATTAACTCCAGGGAATCGGACACATGGTCCATAGGACAGGAAAGATCCTGCCAGAAAAATGCCCGCTGCTGCCAAGTGAGCCCTTGGGAGCGATGTGGAAAATCTCCTCTTGGGAGGGCTTTGCTTTCCCAATGGTCTTTCTCCTTTGCTGGTGTCTTTCTCCTGGTTTCTGGCCCTAGGGGGTAAGTGACGCGCGGGGCCACTGGGTTTGTCATGCCTTTCAGTGTGTGCAGCCTTGCTGGGCCCCTCTAATGAAGCCCTGAGGAAGGGCTGGCTGACATCATGCTGGGCCCCTGGTCTCACCCCTCAGGCCACACAGGAGGGTGAGAGTGGTCTTACATCCCTGAGTTGAAGCTCAGAGAGGCTAAGGGACTCCCCAAGGTCACACAGCCAGGGAGTCGGCATCATCCAGCCTTCTGGCAATTCCAAAAATGTATCCCTGCCCCAGGCCGCCTGTCCTGAGAGCCCCACATCTGCGTGGGGAGAGCCAGCAGTGCCTGGGGCAAAGGTCATCGTTTTTTTATGATTTCAGCAGCTCTCAGGACAACAGCATTTCTAGACATTCACAAAATTATGCCGTGTTTGGCCCAAGGCCAGCGTTCATTGGTTTCTCAGCACAGGCCACTGTGGCATTTACACCTGGGCAACCTGGGCTTCCATCCGTGGGAGGATTCTTCGTTGGCTCTGAATGGTGGTTGGTCTCCTGCTGATGAAGGTCTTGCTGCCGTTCCCTCTCAGGGAAGTGGCCTGTGGCCCCTGGCTGGTCTGCCCAGCACCGAGCAGTCAAGGGGCCTCCAGCCCTGGCTTCCGAGGCTCCCTTACCCCATAGTGGCCTTATGTGCGACTGAGAGTTTGTTCCCGGGAGAGGGGGTCGTGGGGAGGAGAGATGCAAGGGGCCTTAAGCCTTCCGATCCAAGGGGACACCTTCAACCATAAAGCATGAACCATCTTTATTGGTTCAGAAAAGATCTTAGCTTCGCTCAGCTGTAACAGTGCATTGAGGCACAGCTGTCCCTTGAGTCACGTGGGAGCAAGAGGAAGGAAGCACGTTCTCCGGGACAGTCTGGGTGGGAAAGCCGGGCTTGCAGGCAGAGCACTTGGAGCGCTGGAGGGTGGAGGAGAGCAGAGGCCTCTAGAGCAGCGGTTGCAAACACAGGGAGGGGCCGTTGTGAACTCGGGGGAGGCAGGCCTGGACCCCTCCCTCCCTGAGAAGTGGTTGGTGGAAATGAAGGTTGGGAGGCCTTGTTCCGGCCTCTGTGGGTGTGGCACCCGGCACCAAATAGGTGGCAGGTGCTCCCAGTCCCAGAGGGAGGCGAAGGGGGCAAGCACGCTGGCTTTAGCCCTTCCTGTCTGGACTGCTTCTTGGGCTGTGTGGGCGGGAGGAGGGGCAGCAACCCAAATGATTGACTGGGAACCTGGAGGAGGCGGAGCCCCTGCTACCAGGACCCTTCACATGCGGGGCCATCTCTGAGAATTTGTATGTGATCGGGCCACTGTTTTTCCCACGGCTCAGTCTGAGCATCTGTTCTGGGGGAAATGTGATTTTTTTTTTTTTTTAAATCTCGCTTTGCAGCAGCCAATAAATCCTGCACCTAAAAGCTGATGTTTGTTCTGGAGCGCTTCCTATGCCAGCAGCACAGCTGTGGGGCTCCTCACACCCCAAGCTGATGGTTTTCCAGTCTGTGTCTCGGTCTGGGCAGACCTTCTCCCTGGGCCCAGCCGGCCTCCCACCCCCCTGCCCCCTCAGGCACAGCCTAGATTTGTCTGTAGCCGGGGATGGGGGGATTGTGTCCCCTCCAGGCTCATCTCTGGAAGTGCCCAGAAAAACAAGAAGTGACCAGTTGCTAAGTTTTAAATGAGTCTTACCCTTTGGGATCCATTTAGCTCTGTGGGTGGGGCTTGGGATTTGGGTTCAGAACATGGGCTAGGACCCCAGTTTCCCTAGTTACTGACTGCAGGGCCTTGGGCAGGTCACCCCTGTTGCGGTCCTGTGTTTCCCTCCCCTGGAACTGGGCTCTGTGTTTCCCTCACAGGGAGGGGCTGCACAGATAGGAAGGGATGGGTTACCTGGGGGATGAACATAGCGGGTACTTCCTGCTCCTCCCCCATCCGAACCACCTCTCTCCACTTGAGAGACTTTCTTGTACGTTCACTGGCAAAGTTCCTGGAGGGGGAAGCTGTTGGTGGGCTGCTCCAAGCCAGGGCGGGGGAGATCCTGCGTTTTCGTTTTTAAAACTTGCTTCTCCATCAGGGCTACGAGGGAAGTATTATCTCAGTGTCCTTGCCAGCCATTTGCTCACCCCAGAGTCCCCGGGTGATCTGTAAGCAGGCCTCTGGTCTCTCCCTGCCTTCCGACAGCCCTTCCCAGGCATCGACCCTGTGCCAGGCTCTGTGCTGGGTGCCAGGCCCACACTGGTGAACACGACAGACACGGGCCATCCACTCCTGAAACATTAGCTCAGCATAGCTACTTTCACCCTGACATACCCTCCGGAAAACCCACAGGGCGGCAGGAGGGCACCAGCAGCCTCACTCCAATACAGTGATCTGTCCCAAAGGATGAATGACAAAACCCACACAAACAATAGGATTTCAGTGAAGGAGCAGGGCACAAAATTAACATACAAACAGTCCACAGAGGTTAGGAGGGTAGTGAAAATCCCATGCACAATGTTTACAAGAAGATTAAATACTTTGGAATAAATTTAGCAAGAAATGTGCAAAACTATACAAGAACAATGTTAAAGGCACCGTGTAGGACTTGAACAGTCCATTCTGGGGTGGCAGGACTCAGCATGATAAAGATGCCAGTTTCCCTAAGTTAATTTACACATTCAATGCAATCCCACTAGAAACCTCATAGGCTATTTTATGAAGTTAGTCACATTTGACCAAAGTTCATGTAAAAAAAACCCACAAACCTGTAGAAATAACCAGGAAACCACTGAGAAAGAAAAACGATGATGGAGGACTAGCCTTACCACACATTCAAACATACTGTAAAACCTCTGCAATTAAAGCCATGTGGTCCTGGTGTAGGAAGAGACAAACGGACCAGGAATAGAGTAGAGAGCCCGAGATGGACCCAAGTACACGTGGAAACAGCATCCGATGAAGGTGCCATCTCAGATCACTGGGTTGGAGATGGACTTTTTAATAAATAGCTGAGATGACTGGTAACCATTTGGAAAAAGTCAGAAATAGATCCGTACCTCACACTGTTCCTAAGAACCCCTGGTGAGGGATCTGAGTGTAAACATTAAAACCATACAAGCACTAGCAGGAAACGCAGATGAATTCTTATTTATTTATTTTAAAAAATATATATTTTATTTCTTTTACAGAGAGAGGAAGGGAAAGGGATAGAGAGTCAGAAACATTGATGAGAGAGAGACATCAATCAGCTGCCTCTTGCACACCCCCTACTGGGGATGTGCCCGCAACCAAGGTACATGCCCTTGACTGGAATCAAACCTGGGACCCTTCAGTCCGTAGACCGACGCTCTGTCCACTGAGCCAAACCGGTTAGGGCATGAAATCTTTTTTAAAACCTTGGTGTAGGGAAAGCTGTCTACCTGAGAGTCAAAATCCAGGGGCAATAAAAGATGAATACATTTGAGTAAATTAAAATTAAAAAATTCATGTGACAAAAGCACATGCACCATAAACAAAGACAAAAGACAATCAACAAACTTGAAGCATAATCACAACACACGTCACAAAGGGCTAATATCCCTAACTATCCATGAAGATTATTTAAAACATGAAGGACAGAGGATCAAAAACCCAATAGAAAAATGAGTACAAGATGTGAACAATTTACAAAAATGGCCCTTAGGCATGAAAAATACTCAGATTGACTCAGTTAGAGGAATGCAAATACTATGGTCTGAGTGTTTGTGTCCCCCCTCCCCAAGTTCACAGTTGAAATCCTAATGCACACGGTGATGACATTGGGAGGTGGACCTTTGGGAGGTGAGTAGGTCATGAGGGTGGAGCCCTCATGAGTGGGATTAGTGCTCTTGTAAGAAACCCGAGAGCCTCATCCACCACATGAGGACACCCTGAGAAGTCGGCAGCCTGCAGCCCTGAAGAGGGTCTTCACCAGAACCCGCTGTGCTGGCACCACAACCTCAGACTGCCAGCCTGCAGGACTGTGGGAAATAAATTTCTGTTGTTGATAAGCTACCCAGTGTGTGGTATTTTGTTATAGCAGCCGGACAGACAAATTAAACAGATTCCATTTCTCACCTACCAGCTGGCAAAAACATCAGCAACAAATCCACCCCAAAAGCCCAATGACCAAAAAACCCACATTCTCTTGGTGAGAGGCCATGGGAAAACAAGCACTCTCATAAATTGTGGTGTGTGTGTGTGCATGCAAATTTGTACAACCCTCTGGAGAGAAATTGGATAACATCTAACAAATGGCATATGTACTTGCATTGTGACCCAGCAATCCCTTTTCTAGGAATATATATACACACACACACACACACACACACACACACACACACACATACACACACACATATACATACACAAGAGGCCCGGTGCACAAAAATTTGTGCACTCGTTGTGGGGGGGAGGGGGCGGTCCCTCAGCCAAGCTCCCAGCCTCTCCTTTTTTTCTTTCTTTCTTTTTTTCTGGGATTTATTTATCTTCTATAATTGAAACTTTGTAACTTTGAGTGGAGCCTGGGACCGGCCAGGGCATGCGGGAAGCTTGGCTTCCTCCATCGCCAGGGGCAACCCAAGCCTCCTGCTCGCTCCAGCTCTGTGGCCGCCTCCATCTTAGTTGGGTTAATTTGCATACTCGCTCCTGATGGGCTTGTAGGTGTGGCTTGAGCGTAGCAGAGGGATGGTTAATTTGCATGTTTCTCTTTTATTATATAGGATCATTTGTGTTTTTCAGAGAACTATCAGAGTTCAAGCTTTGCCATTTCTAGCTCAACATTATGGAGAATGGGTTAAGTGCTAATGCACAGTAAAGCAGAGAAAAAGTAATTTAAGTGAACTTTATTGATAACAAATAGACTAGAAGGTATTCCTTTATGGATCACTAATCCATTTTCTACCTTTTAGCCACCATTGTGTCTTTTCAGTGTAAGCATTAGAAACTATACAGTCTGTCCTGACATATTAAAAGCCTAATTCTATGATAACCATTCATTTTTATTGTGTGTCAACACAAGACATTTTCTATCATTTAGTATGTAGTTAATTTATTTTAAATACCTAAAAACTAATAAAACTGGAGAGTGTAAGGGATTCAACAGATCTGGGTTTTCTTATATCATTCTTTTTACAAAGAAAGGCTATTTTCAGTAAAGTTATACCATAGCAGTCTTGGTGCTTTTGATTAATGAAACTATTAGCTGAGTCCCCACAGGCCACAAAGGCTGAACTTTAAAGGTAGTAAAAATCATATACGGTAGTGGTTTTTAGTCATGGACTGGCCTAGGGTTAATGGCTTTCTGCAAGACTGCTCTCGATCCCAGTCTAAAGTCTCTTCAAATTCAAGAAGATAGAAATCATATCAAGCATCTTCTCAGATCACAATGGCATAAAACTGGAAATCAACTACAATAAAAACAATCCAAAAAAATCAAACACATGGAGACTAAATAGCATGCTATTAAACAATGACTGGGTTACCAGAGAGATCAAAGAAGAAATAAAAAACATCATGGCAACAAACAACAATGAAAACACAACAATCCAAAACCTATGGGACACAGCGAAAGCAGTCTTGAGAGGGAAGTTCATAGCTCTACAAGCCTATTGCAAAAAACAAGAAACAATGATAATAAATTACCTAATCCAAAAACTCAAAGAGTTAGAAAGAGAGCAACAAGAAAAGCCCAGTGTAAGCAGAAGGAAGGAAATAATAAAGATCAGAGCGGAGATAAATGACATAGAGACCAAAAAAACAAAAGATCAACAAAACCAAGAGCTGGTTCTTTGCTGGGGGTTTGGTGTTTGTATTTTTTTTATTTTTTCTTTTTCTTTTTTCTTTAATTTTATTATTATTATTATTACTTGTTTGTTTAGTTTTATTATTATTGGTTCTGTGGTGTTTTCCCCATATATATATAATCTCCTTTTCTTCTTTTCTCTCTTATCTTTTTTGCTCTCTTTGATATCATTTATGCTCTCTTTTCTCACCCCTAATTCTCTTTTCTCAAGTGGTCACTTATAGTAGGGCTATTGTTGTCTTGAGTACATTTGTGCTTTGGTCCCTTTGTGTTGTGTCTTGTCGAGGTGAATTTTATCCTGTCTGGCCAGGTCCTAGAGAGTGAGCCTCATAACCAGACACCTGGAGAGGAAACTCCATCCACAAACAGGTCAATAACACCCCAGAACCAACGACAGAGGCAGGAAGAAGGTGGCAGTGAGGGAGAGAGCGTGAGTCAGTGAGGGGCCAAGAGGAGTATGTGGTCATGTGGGATATGTGTGTATGTGAGTGAGGCACAGATAGATCCCGAAGGGCCTTCGGGGTCAGGCTAAACGGGCTCACCTAATTTGGCAGCCTCTGCTACCGTGTAAGCAGTTCCGGGAGGCCAACTCGTCCCCAGAAGCCTAGCATTTTTAAGGGGAGAGC